GGGGGGAGGAGAGTATGATTCTGTGAAATTATTAAGATGAAATAAATTTATGAATTAGCATCAGAGAGTTCTCCCTTACAAATGTGGGAACAGGTCAGAAAACTTTTTTTTTCCTGACATATCCCTTCCCACATTGATTGGTCTATGTTTATTTAAAAAAAAAAAGTGCTTCCTTGTTTTAAGGGCTTTTATAGATAATATACCATCACGTTAAGAATAGCGTTTATTTTAGAAACTGCTCCACTTAGGTTACCAGAGAGAAAGGGAGACAGAGATTCTAAAACTGAGTAATTTCTGATGCCTCTTTCCTTTATTTCAGGGGAGCTAAATAAAAAATAAACTCCAAATAGATATATACTGTTTTGATGTATGGTTTGTTTTCAGTGTAGAAATCTCCTAATATATATAAATCCTGAGATGGTGATGATGATGATTTTACTATTATACTTAGAAACACATTCTGCAGATTGGCATAGCTTTGTAGTGGAACTAAAGAAAACAGTAGGTCCTGTTTGTATTTCACCCAGAAGAAAGATTAGTCTGAGGCTGCTTAATAGATTAATCCAACTCTTTTTAACCCCATTTACACTGTCAAAGGCTTAAAGATTTCACAAAAAGTGAACTATGAAACACACCTGATTAAACATGTGGGACCAAATGATATCCTTCTGAGAAATGGTGAGAAGATTGTCTGGGGCAGCCATGGGATCGATCTTTCCCACTTGGACTCTCAGAAAGGACTTGTTTGGGAATGTGATCCAATTGAGAATATCAAAACCAGTTAGGAATTCCCCACTGGGGCCAAAAGAAATCTGTTCTCCAGCACTGTTGTTGAAGGACACTTGCCGCAAAAAATGGTGGAGCTGAATGGAGAAAGAAAGAAACAGAAAAGTTATCAGGATTCCTTGAAGAGTATGGAGGAATTTCAATGTATTCTCAGTTTGGCCTATGCTCAGTGAAATTTAACCTGTCAAATTTTGCATCAGTCTACACCTTTTAAATCTGAAAGGGAAATAAGTTCTCTGTCACATGCAATTTCTACACTATTACTAACCAATGCATTTCATTTGATAAGTTCACAAAATCCAGAAAAGAAGAAATCCCACAGACCACATTGGTCTGCTCAATAGAGCAATCCAGGAGGGCGGAGCTGGCGTCGCGGCGATACGGCGGGGGGGG